ATTGGGATGAGGACACAGAAGCTTCCAGTCTGAGGAAACAGGACCAGCTGAGGAATTGGCAAGGTGAGATAGCTGTGGCTTGTTCTGTCTCTTTGATCTACCAGCATTGACCCCAGTAACTCGCCTCGGGTTTGATTTTATTAATAAGAACTTCTAAGATTCCTGCTACAGTTTTATGTCAACTTGACACAGCTAAAGTCATCTGAGAGGAGGGAACTTCAATTAAGAAAATGTCTCCAGAGCCAGGTGGTGGCGGCGCATGCCTTTAATCCCAGCACTCCGGAGGCAAGGGAGGTGGATCTCTGTGAGTTCAAGGCCAGCCTGGTCTACAGAGAGAGTTCCTGGATAGCCAGAGCTACACAGAGAAACCCTGTCTCAAAAAACAAAACAAAACAAAACAAAAAACAAAAAGAAACAGGCTGTAGGGCATTGTTGGCAAAAGTTTCTGTCCTGCAAGCCACTCCCAAGTAACCACTCAGAGGTTTAATATTAATTATAAATGCTCGGCCAATAGCTCAGGTTTTTGACTAGCCATTCTTTCATTTAAATTAACCCATTTCCATTCCTTTACCTGCTGCCACATGGCTCATGGCTTGTTACCTCATTTTGTACACATCCTGCTTTCTCTGTGTCTGGCTGGTGACCCTTCTGACTCCACCTTTTTTCTTCCCAGAATTCTCCTAGTCTAGCTCTCCTACCCAATCCCTTCCTGCCCAGCTCTTTATTAACCAATAAGAGTAATTCATATTTACAGTGTACAAAGATTGTTCCACGTCAGGGCATTTCCTTAATTAGTGATTGTTGGGAGAGGGCTCAGCCCATTGTGGGTGGTGCCATCCCTGGGCTGGTGGTCCTGGGTTCTATAAGAAACCAGGTTGATCAAGCCACAGGGAGCAAGCCAGTAAGTGATACCCCACCCCCCATGGCCTTTGCATCATCTCCTGTCTCCAGGTTCTTGTTCTGTGTGAGTTCCTGTCCTGACTTCCTTCAGTGATGAACAGTGCTGTGGAAGTGTAAGCCAAATAAACCCTTTCCTCCCCAACTTGCTTTGGTCATGGTGTTTCATCACAGCCATAGAAACCCTAACTAAGACAAATTGGTACCAGCATAGTGGGGTATTGCTGTGACAGACCTGATCCTGTGTTGGGGAGGACTGTGGAAGGACTTTGGAACTTTGGGCTAGAAGAGCCACTGAGTGTTGAGAGCTCAGTGGGATGTTCTGTAGGAACTTGGAAAATAAGAATGTTGAGAACAGTGCAGATGATGGAGGCCTGGCCTGTGAAGTTTCAGAGGGAAGCCTCTACCAGGCCTTTTGTGTGAAGAGTCTGTGGTTCTGGTCAGCTGGAGCTGAAGAATCAACCGTGATTAACAAGATGCCAGCACCACTGAAATTAAACCTTTGCTTTACCAGGACAATGGATGCTGGTCAGCTGGAGCTGAGAAACTGGTGGTGATTAAGAAGAGACCAGCATTGTTGAGGTAAAATCTGGGAAGTGTTTCCTCAGAGTCAGCACACAGAAGCTGTGTTCCAGGGTTGGCCCTCATGCTGGCAGCAGAACTCGGTAGTGCAAGAGTCACCCAGGTGGTACTGGTTTGGAAGGTGTGAAGGGGTCATGGAGAGCAGCTGAGGCTTGGCACCGGGTGGCAGGGCTGCAGCCCCTGAAGGGAGTCCAGGGAGGCTGCTGGTGAAGGTGAAGCGCAATTTCAGTAAGGGACCCAGCATGGAGATGCCAGTACTGTGGGATGACCACTGAGAACAGCAGCAGCGGTGGAGTGGAGCCAGCTGGAGCCTGGAAGACAAGCTCTGTGTGCTGCAGAGGGCAGAGCTGGAAAAGTGACCCACGCCCTTGAGAGGAGTCCTGAAGTGAATCCCAGATATTGGATATTGAATTATTTACACAGTTAGAGTTTGGTTTTGCTTTATTCAGATTGTGACTATGCCCTGGTTTTCCTCTTCCTCCCCCTCCCCCTTCTCCTCTTCTTCTTTTTGGTTTTTTGAGAAAGAGTTTCTCTGTGTAGCCCTAGCTGTCCTGGAACTTGCTTTGTAGACCAGGCTGGCCCCGAACTTACAGAGATCTGCCTGCCTCTGCCTCCAGAGTGCTGGGATTAAAGGTGTGTGCTACCACTGCCTGGCTATAATTTATTTTTATTTTATGTTCATTAGTGTTTTACCTGCATGTACATCTATATGAGGGTGTCAAAGCCCTTGAATTGGGGTTACAGACAGATGTGAGCTGCAATGTGGGTGCTGGAAATTGAACCCAGGTCCTCTGGAAGAGCAGTCAATGCTCTTAACCACTGAGCCATCTCTCCAGCCCCTAGAGACTAATTTTTGTTTGTTTTTCCTTTTTTTGTTTTGTTTTGTTTTAGTTTTTTGAGACAGGGTTTCTCTGTGTAGCCTTAGCTGTCCTGGAACTCACCCTGTAGACCAGGTTGGCCTTGAACTCACAGTGATCTACCTGCCTCTACCTCCCAAGTGCTGAGTTTAAAGGTGTGCGCCACCACCACCCACAAAGACTAAAATTTTAAAGTATTTGAATTGTAAGACTGTGGGACTTTTTAAGTTTGTAAAATGTTTTATATGACTGTGTCATCTTGGGGATGAATGAGAAAGGAAAGGTTGTGGTTTAACAGTGATGTTTGTATGTCACGTTGACAAGGAATCAGTTGTGTTGGAAAGTTTTATGTCAACTTGACACAAGGTAAAGCCATCTGAGAGGAGGAGATCTACATTAAGGAAATGCTTCCATAAGCCTGGGCTGTAGGCAAGCCTGAGGGACATTTTCTTAATCAGTGATTGATGGGGGAGGGCCCAGCCCAGTGTGGGTGATGCTATTCCTGGGTTGGTGGTCCCGGGTTCTATAAGAAAGTAGGCTGAGCAAGTCATGGACAACAAGCCAGTAAGTGGTACTCCTTCATGGCCTCTGCATCAGCCCTTGACTCCAGGATCCTGCCCTGTGTGAGTTCCTGTCCTGACTTCCTTCAGTGATAAACAGTGCTGTGGAAGTGTGAGCTGAATCAACCCTTCCCTCCCCAACCTGCTTTTGGTCATGGTGTTTCATCATAGTGATAGTAGAACCAAGACTTACTAAATATTTGTTTTTATTATTTTTAAGTACGTGTATGTACTTGTGTAAGTATGTGCATGTGAATGTAGGTGCCCTCAGAGGCCAGAGACATTAGATAGCCTAGGAGCTGCAGTTACAAGCAGATGTGAGTTGCTCAACATGGGTGCAGGGAATTGAACTGCGGTCCTCTGTGGAGCTGACATGCTCTTAGCCTTGGAGCCACCTCTCCAGCCCCGCCTCTTCGCTTTCCTGATAATGTCCTCTGTTGTATGAGAGTTTCTAATTTTGATGGGCCCAGTCTCCCTGTTGTTGGTCCTGGATGCTTGTGCTTTGGAGAAGTGTATCTAACTCAAGGTGACAAAGGCCAGAGCCTGTGTCACCTCCTAAGTGCTGTGCAGTTCTGGCTCCTGCTGTTAGTGAGGATGCTCACGGTCACTCAAGCCTTCCCAAATACTAACACACTGATCAAACACTGGGCCCTAAAGCCTTAAAGGATCCAACTGTGAGCAGGATGCTCTCTGAAAAGACTGAAATTAACCTAGAAATTTATATATAAACAAGAGGAGGGATGCCAGCTGTACCAATGTAGAATGCACTTGTAATCTTAATACCTGGAGCTGTAGGCATGAGGGTTGTGAGTTTGAAGCCAGCCTGGGATATGATAGACTCAAGCTAAAATCAAAGAGGGGAGGTTGGCAGGATGGCTCAATTCTGAAAGTTCTTGCCTTGTAAATTTGAGGACCTAAGTCAGACCCCAGAATCCATGTGAAAAGCCAGACAGAGATACTTTCAAACACATGCTCAGTGGTGCCTCTCAGATGACCCCAAATCCAGCCAAAGTCACCGCGAAGATAAACCACCACGATTATCATTCTAACTGACTACATAATCAAAACTATAAAAATCGTATGATCATCTCAAAAGATGGAGGAAGCTGGGCATGGTGGTGCACACCTTTAATCCCAGCACTCGGGAAGCGGAGGGATTTCTGTGAGTTTGAGACCAGCCTGGTCTGGTCTACATAGGGAGTTCTAAGCCAGCTGGAGCTGCACTGTGAGTGAGACTCTGTCTCAAAAAAATAAGATGGAGAAAAATTATTTCTAAATCCCCAGGGTGATGGACTCCTAGAGCAAACCAGGGGTGGGGTGGAATGTTATAAAATGCCTTTACCAAAGTCCTATCCAACAGCAAAGATCCTGGGTCCCAGCCAGTGCAGGAAGGGCCAGGGAAAACCAAATGTATGAAGGGTCAGGGCAGAAAACAGATTGTTACCCAAGGGACTTGTGGTTGGATGGGCAGAAAGCCAATCATATTGATAAGCTATTAAAATTAAAACATAAAGTTAACAAAGTCCCCAAATATAAATTCTATTGTAAATCCAGTAATAATTAGAAAATTAAATGTAAAAATAATAACACAGTATTTACATTTTTCAGAGAACAACAAAACCAGTCAGAGGACAAAAGCCATTCAAGATGTCTGCCTGGGACTCCACAGCACATCCCTGAGGATGTGTAGATGTTTGGGGTTATTTGGTTTATGAGGAAGCCAGCCCTGTCTGAACTGCTGTCCTGATGTGATCCTAACACACAGCTTGGTAGATGGTGGATGTGAGTGTGCATACATAGGAGGTGGAAGCAGATATAAAAGTGTGCACGTGGCCAGGCACCGTGGCGCGTGTCTTTAACCCCAGAGCTCAGGAGGCAGAGGTAGGTGGATCTCTGTGAGTTCTAGGCCAGCCTGGTCTACAGAGCGAGTTCCAGGACAGCCAGGGCTACATAATAAGGCCCTGTCCTCAGGGTCTACTATTTGATCCAAGACATGTGAGTAGGAATATATTCTGATAAAGCCATAGTAAGTAGGAATGGAAGTCTCCTGCTTTGGGCGAGGAATACATTTTGTATGTTATTTTCCTTTTTTTTTTAAACAAACAAACGGTGCTGGAGAGATGCTCAGTGGGTTGAGAGTGCTTGTCGTATAAACAGGAGAGCCTGAGTCCAGATCCTCAGCGCCCCGTTTACAAAAACAAGTGTTGAGGGAGGTGGAGATGGGGATCTTCTGGACTTGCTGGCCACAGTCCTCTCTCCAGGTTCAGTGAGGGACCCACCTCAAAGGAGTAAAGAGTGACAGGGTGCACACACACACACACACACACACACACACACACACACACACACAGGGACACACGGACATGGACACACACACCACACCCATGCACACAATGGTTACACACACAAAACAAAAACCACACGTGAAAACAGCTGCTGGGTGTAGAGGCAAAAACCATCTCTTGGCAAGCTGAGGAGGGTCCTGAGCCTGAGGCCGGGCTGGGCTATGATGGAGACTTCAAAGTGTGATTCAGCCAAAGTCTTTAAATTGTAGAACTAGTAGTTGGATGAGTAGAGAATCTGAGCTATACTGAGCGATAAATTATCAAAACTCATGTTATATATACATACATATGAATTGCATTTTATTTTTTTAACCTTTCTTTCCTTGGTGTGCACAGTGTGGATGTGTGGCCCAGGACAGCTTGCAGGAGTTGGTTCTCTCCCGCCGCCGTGTGGGTCCCAAGGATAAACTGGTTATCAGTCTTGGTGACAAGAACCACAACGGAGCCATCTCATTGGCCCTATATATTTTTTATAGGTTATTTATCCATGTATATTTATTTATAGGTTATAAAATCATAATCTTCATATATATATTTATTCCTGGCTGTCCTGGAACTCGATATGTAGACCAAACTGTCTTGTTACAGACATCCACCTGCCTCCACTACGCCCAGTTACTTTTTGCACCTCTATCTGTATCTGTATGTGCACCACATGCATGCAGATACCTATGGAAGCCAGATGAGGGCGTCAGTGTCTCTGGAGCTGAGCTCCAGGTGGTTGTGAGTCGCCCACTGTGGGTGCTGGGGACCGAACCTGGGTCCTCTGTAAGGGCAGCAGGGCTCTTGGGCGGTAAACGGCCTCTCCAGCTGCATCCCTGTCATGATATTCATGAGTCATTTGTACAGTTAATGCAGCCAGTGAAATAATGTCCAGCAGACGGCTTGATTCACAGCCTGCTGATGCAGATTTTCCATTCTCTCCTTGGAGACTTGAGGCAATCTGCCCAACTGTCCCCAAGGAATGAAGGGCCAGGGTGGGGCGAGGGGGTCATTTTACTCGTCAACAACATGGCTTTTCTCTGGTTATTTTAGCCACAGTGACACTGTGGAGGTCACTTCTGCTCCCTGTACACAGTCCTACACCGCAGTGAGAGTGTGTTGAGCATCTGGGTTCCTGTGCATGCACTGTGCAGTCATTACCAGCGAAGAACCCGGAGGAGGACACAGGCAGAGGGCAGGAGCCAAGAGTCTCTCCAGGCACCATCTACCACTGGTGTAAATGGAGAAGAAGCCTTTGACTTGCTTGTGATAGAGCTGGGGGCCCAGCTCAGCTGTAAGGTGTTTGCCTAGCTCCCCAACCCCAGGAAGGGGCTAGGGTGTGATGCAGTTGTAGGGTGCTTGCCTAGCCCCCCCACAGTGAGGGGCTAGGATGTGACTCCACTGTGGGGTGCTTGTCTAGACTTCCCCAGTTGGGGGCTGGGGTGTGTCTCAGCTGTGGGATTCTTGTCTAGGCTACTCCAGTGAGGGGCTGGGGTGTGTCTCAGCTGTGGGGTACTTGTCCATACTCCCCCAGTGAGGGGCTGGGAGTGGTAGGGTTCTTGCCTGGCCCCCACGGTGAAAGGCAGGGGATAGAGCCCGGGGTAGGGGGCTTTCCTGGTACATACAAGACCCTGGCTCCATCCCTAGCACTCAGGTGACTTCTGTTCTCCAGTGTTTCAGAAAGGCAGCATTTTGGCTGCCTTGAGCCTTTTTCTCTTGTTGGTGGTGGATGCTCGTGCTACCCAGGATCCCCATGAATGTGGTTGGACTTTGGGTACATATGAAATCCAGTGAAAGCCTCCTCCTTCACTGGACACTGCAGAAATTTGGCCTGGTTGATATTTAGTCAAGGGAGGAAGTCCTCGCTTGGATTGTAGCTGCTTGGATTGTAGCTACCACATATCTAGAACCATCATATTGGATAAGTAAGCCTACTCAAGGCAAGTGGAATCTTTGCCTTCGTTGGACATGGAGTCACCAACATCAGGAACTCTGGGAGGAGAGAAGAGTGAGGGAGCCTTCCAGGCTGCCATCATCACCCCATGAACTTCACCTGGTAACAACATGGATAACCTCTAGACACCCTCCACCCCAGGCGGCCATCCCAGAACTCGGAGGACAACAGTGCCTCTTTAAGTCTCTGGGTGACACTTACTCATGGACTTGTGTGTGTCATAGTTAATATGAATAAGACTTTCCTGGATGAACTCAGATAAAACTAAATTACCCAGCAAGGGCTCAAGTAATTTTAATTTACAGAAAACTATTACGGGCCATAAAACTCTTCACCCGTGGTGCTGGCCAGTTCCTAATGACCCACGCCTGGTGACAGTGTCTTTCATGAGCTCCCACAGCAGGGGGCCAGCCTTTCCCTCCTCCACAGTCAGGCTGGCTCCTGCTCGTCTTGTGACATCTTTTTGAACATAACAAGACATTTCTGTGTTTGCCCTACAGTGATCAATGTTGATTTTATTTTTAAATACATGTGATCATCCATGAAGTCAAGTAATAAAAAAGCCCAAAGTGACTTCATGGAAAACTAATGCTCCCTGGTGCTGTCCTCTAGATCTATCATGGAGAGCACAGACGTTTCCTACCACGCTAGGTTCTGGGAGAAAGGTTACAACAGTGTGTCATCCCTATGGAAGTGTCCTCCTTTTTTTTTTTTTCCCCCTTATGTGGACTTTGAAAGGAGGCGCTCAGCTGTCGGGTTTCTCAAATCTACGCGGTGGCTGGGATGTGGCTCAGCCGATAGAGTGCTTACCTCGCCTGTAAGAAGCCCGGCTTTCATTCCTAGCCCTGCTGGGGATTCTCAGCTTTAAACTAGGCATGGTGGTGCAAGTTTGGAATCCTAAAACCCAGGATTGGAAGCAGGTCAGAAGTTTAAGGTCTTATTGGCTGTGGGGGAGTTTAAAGCCAGCATGGGATATGAGACCAAGTCAAACCAAACCCTGGACCAGTGCTGGCTGAAGTCTTCAGCTGCCATGACGGTGGCTACCAAACCCGATGGGCACCAACTTCACCCGCACTCATTCTCACCTTGGGCTCTGATCCACCCTGCAACAAGGACTGTTTCCAAACCATCTTCCTCTCCCAAACTTCACCTCAGCCCTTTCCTACTCAGTCATGGCAGAGGCTGCTTCTGGTTTTGAGAAGGAAACAGCGTCCAGCAGACTCTTCCTCTCTCCCTCCTCCCCCCAGCCAAGTTCTCCATCTGTGCGGGAGTCCAGGGCGCCTTCCTACCCGGAGGTCTCCCTGGACCATGACCTCCTCCTGTCCTGTCTTTCCTTTCTTTCTCTGTTGCTTCCTCTGACTCTGGACCACACTGGTGACATCCCAGCATGGTTCTTGTCTGTGGTGGTCACTGATGTTGGTTTTTTTCTCAGACACCTCCCTTCTTTCTTTTGGAAATGAAGCCGCCTGTGTTTGGCAGGCCACACGGTAGTGGATACCTGTTCTGTGACCTGAAGCACAGCCCTGGAGATGTAGCAAGTAACTGCTCTACCTGCCTATGACCTTGAAGAGCATGCCCCTGGGGTGACCACTCAGCTACCCTACCCTTAAGACCTGAGATGCACTATGCTGCTCTCTTCCGTCCCCTTTGGGACTTGGATGTGGGACAGTCTCAGGTGCAGGAGAACAGCGTGAGATCATGCCTCACCTTTTCCAGGACCCTGCGACAACTCCTCTGTTCTGTTTTGTGAGTTTTCCTTCCTTAATAAATCCCTTTGCCCTTTAAGCAGACTCTGGATCCGCTACACCACATACTGACCACGCAAAGCCAGCCTCTCTCAGAACATCTCAGGGGCAGCCTTGGCTCTCAGCTCTGGTCTATGGGGCTGAGTGGAGTGATATGGTCAACTCTCAGGTTCCATACGTCAGAGAAGCTGCTGGTCCTTGGCTTTCCCCTCCCTCGCTCCCTCCTCCCTTCCTCCCTCCCTCCCTTCCTCCCTCCCTCCCTCCCTCCCTCCCTCCCTCCGTGTGTGTGTGTGTGTGTGTGTGTGTGTGTGTCTGACTGTGTGTCTTCCTCCCACTTTCCACCCAACCTATCAAAGGTACAGTTTCTCACTTGAGCCCAGAGCTTGCTGATTTGACTAATCCAACTCTGCAGCTCACCTGGGGACCCTGTCTCTGCCTCCTGAGCATTGTTGGGATTACAGATGGGCCTCCGTACCCACCCAGCATTTAGGTGGGTGCTGGCTTCCTGTCTAGTCCTCAAGCTTGCTCAGCAAGTTCTTTATCCACTGAGCCTTGCCCTAAGCCCTACTCCCTCCCTTTCGGGAGGACTGGATGTGGGTGTGAGGGTGTGTGCCCGCTCTGGCCATGGTGATGAGGATCATCATATCCTTGTGAGCAATGGGGAGACTCAGAGGAGGAGGCTGTCGGGTGATCTCATGGGCTAGTCACCCATCACATTGCCTGTAGTTTGAATCTGGACTGTTCCCCCAGAAGCCTGTATGCTATGGGCTTTGTTCTGAATGTGGAGCATTTAGGGGCTGTGGAAGCTTCTGAGGTGGGGCCAGTGGGAGAAATATTAGCCACTGGTGTTGTGCTAGAGGAGGAGATTTGTATTTACGTACTTAAGATATATTCTTAGAGGGGCTGGAGAGATGGCTCAGCGGTTAAGAGCACTGGCTGTTCTTCCAGAGGACCCAGGTTCAGTTCCCAGCACCCACATGGCAGCTCACAACTGTCTGTAACTCCAGTTCTGGGGGATCTGACACCTTCACACAGATATACACTCAGGCAAAACACCAATGAACACAACATAAAAATAAATTATAAAAAAGATATATTTTAAGCAGTTTATTTATGTGTATGGAGGTTTTGCCCACATGTATTTATGTACACTATATGTATGTCTGGATCCTGCAGAGGCCAGAAGAGGGATCCCCTGGGCCTGGAGTTATAGAGGGCTATGAGCTACCATGTGGGTGCTGGGAACTGAACCTGGGCCCTTTGCCCTAAACTGATGAGCCCTCTCTTCAGCCCCATTAAAAAGCGCTGGTACCTCAGCCTCTTCTTGCATGTCTCTGTGGCTACCATGATGTGGGCGGCCTATCAGCCACCCACTCCCACCAAACAACAGCCAATCACGTTAGGTTAAAGCCCTAAACGTCACTAAAGCAAAGCTTTCCTCCTTGAAGTCGATGGATTGGCTCAGGCATTTTGTCACAGTGATGGGCCACTGGCAAAGCCCCATGGATGTGTGGGACCCTTTACTCCTGTACCTGTGACTGACACACTTTCCCCCTGCCAAGTCACTGTGACCTGGTCTGGGAAAGCGGCCCCAGCCAGTTGTCTAGTGTGAATATTAATTAGCATGGCCAATATGGAGTAACCTCAAAAATGTAAATAGAGTAACTGTGGTGATATATTGTGTCCCCCAATATATTGTGCACCCTAATAAACTTATCTGGGGTCAGAGAACAGAACAGCCACTAGGCAGACATAGAGGCCAGAAAATTTAATCCTATCACTTGGGAGGCAGAGATCCATCCGGATCTCTGTGAGTTCAAAGCCACACTGGAAACAGCCAGGCATGGTAACTCACACCTTTAATCCCAGGAAGTGACAGCACAAAGCAGAAAGGTATATAAGGCGTGAAGACCAGGAACTAGCCTGGTTAAGCTTTTAGGCTTTTGAGCAGCAGTTCAGCTGAGATTCATTCTGGATGAGGACTGAGAGGCTTCTAGTCTGAGGAAAAAGGATCAGCTGAGGAACTGGCAAGGTGAGGTGGCTGTGGCTTGTTCTGCTTCTCTGATCTTCCAGCATTCACCCCAATACCTTGCTTCAGGTTTGTTTTTATTAATAAGACCTTTTATGATTCCTGCTACAAGTAACTGCTCAGCTTGGCAACCCACCACTGTGTGGATGCCCAAGGCAATGGTTTACTCTGTCAAAATGGTCACCACCTAATGGGCCCCCCAGAAAACACTTCAAACCTACAAACATCCCAAGGGCTTTTGGATATCCTAAGTGTTTATAGAAAAAATAAGACAGAGCACTGCAAGTCTTAATGAAGATGTCAGAAGCAAAATTACAAAACTCAGTTTAAAAAATCGATTAGTAGGCTGGTAGCGGCACACACCTTTAATCCCAACATTTGGGAGGCAGAGGCAGGTGGATCTCTGTGAGTTTAAGGCCAGCCAGGTCTACAGAGAGTAAGTTCCAGGACAGCCAAGGATGTGCTGGAACTCGCTCTGTAGTCCAGGCTGGCCTCAAGCTGGAACTCGCTCTGTAGTCCAGGCTGGCCTCAAACTCAAGAGACCGCCTTCCTGTCTGGAGTGCTGGGATTAAAGGTGTGTACCACAACTGCCTAGGCCTCATTCTTACTTTGTGGCAGGTGGCCTGAAGTGCACACCCTAGACACCACCCCACCCCATGCTAGCAAAGTCACAGATGTGGAGCCCTGGATCCCATCCACGATTAGACATTCATACTTCTCATCAAATTATCTGAGACACCAGCTACCTCCTACTCCCTTCTGTATTTTGTCTGTGTGTGTGTGTGTGTGTGTGTGTGTGCATGCGCGTGCATGTGTGTACACATCACAGTGCAGACTTGGAGGCTAGAGACGACTTTCGGGAGTAAGTTCTCTCCCTCTACCATGCAGGACCCAGGCACTGAACTCAGGACCTTAAGCATGGGGGCACGCATGTTAACCTGCTGAACCATCTCACCGACCCAACCCTGGGGAAAATTTTTAATTCACATTTGCAATTGCACAGACACCCTGTGACACTTCCCACACAAGAACAAAGTGAAGGGAATTAGCATATCCATCCCCCAGTGGCTTCACATTGGGAAACCATTAGCTACCACACTCGTGCCCCTCCCTCCCTCAGTCATCAATGGGCTTCAGACCAGCAGCCCTGGAAACACAGGATTCAAGGCCCACGTTACCTATCTGCCCGTACAAAGAGAAAGGAAGGAAAACAGACTGAAGGCTATGGGAGCTGCCACATTAGCAACTTTATAGCACCACAGTAAAGTATGTCTGCTCCATGCTCGCAGTCCTTTGAGAAGCCTGGGATTTTTTTGTCCACTGACTTTGGTGAACGGACATAATGAAGTTGGAAACTGAAAAGAATTACTGCCTGGGCAGTTTTTCCAGGTTCTTGGCGTTTCTGCTTCCTGGTGGCAATGACATTTGTTTACCTTGAAAATGGGAGAAGACACTTTTATGGGTCCGGTCTCCATGGAGCGCAGGAGCCTCCCTCACGCAGC